TGGGCGCCGCAGCCAATGAGAGGCCAACACTTGCTTTATTGCCCATGGAGGCTACACATTAATCCAGTTTGTAGGCTCCGTCATGTGATCACTTCATCCATTACCAGTAGTTTGCCTGTAATTACTGTGAACTTTTACGATGCGGTGATAAAAAGTGAAAGATTACTTCACAATAGAGCCAGGTGTTTTTTTATTTAACATGTTGACAAAAGTCCAGTTGTGCGCAAACTCAGGACTACATTTATGAACGGTTAGGAAGACGAAAGCCTGCATACATTTGTAAGAATAGAGCAGCACTTAAGTTGGGAAAAGAGTGGTTTGTAAACATATTGTGATTGTCCTGTAATCTGACATTTTCTCAATTCAAAAACAACTCTAATATCCTATTTCTGAACATAAATAAAATGAATAAATTAAATAAAATAAAATTAGATTAAACAAATAAAAAAACATGAAAACATAATTATAAAAATAACTCAAATACATAAATAAAACAACTACAAAAATGAATAAAGTAATAAAAAACATACAAAGAAATTTACAAAATAATAATAATTACATAAAATATTTACACAGAATAACAACTAAAACTGTATAAAATAGCATGTTAAGGTATCCCTTCATAAAGAAAAATCAAAAAACAGTATCACAATGTATGGAGATGAGTGAGTAGTGCATGATTCAGAGTGTCACAACCGTCCAGAGCGAGTGGACATCCTGAACGGAAACCACAGCCGTCAAAGCTGCTTTTTCCTGCCACATACACAAGAAGCACTCTCACATGTCACTTGACAGAGAACTCATATGGGAAGTGAAAGAGGAAGGCTCTGGTCCATCCTGTCCTCCATCCCAATCTCTGCTCTGGTCTTCACATGAAGCTGTGCTCACACTAATGCCACTCAGCTTTCAGGCTTGCAAAACAACTAAGAACTGGATTGGGCTGGAAATATCTTGTCATTAGAGGTCAAATGTCTGACCTAGTGTCATTCTACTGCAAATGATTTGTTCCGGGAATAGCTAGCCTCCGTTAGCGCACTGCATGGTTAACTAATATTAATAATAATCTGCAATGACCATGGCCAACATCACAAAAAATAATATAAATACTGGTAGCATCTGTTTCGTCCAATCCCTTTTCAAACTGTGTATAGCTGTTTATTGTGTAGCTTGTATTTTATTTATTTACGACACAGGTCTTAAATAAATCCAAAAATTAATCATGGTATTTTATAATTGCACCTGGGTTTCATACATTTTGAAAACTGTTTATGTCAATAGTACAAAAGGTGTCTGCTTTTAGATTTGATCCAATATAACTGTCCTATTGGGTTGAGAGTGAGGAAAAAATATAAACTTAACTGATTCTCTCATGGCCTTCGCTAAAAACTGAGCTCACTAAATCACCTTAGCTTGGACTAATAATAACAATGCAGATGCTAGAGTCGCTTTGCAATTTAGAGCATTATTCATTCTCTTGGCAGAAGAACTATAGTAGCCACAGCCGCCCTGGGGTAGACTGAGGGATCGAGTCTGCCAACAAATATCATCGACCTTCCAACCACCAATACTTGCAAAAACACCAGATTCCTATAAAAAGGGGAAAGTGCACCACACCAGTTTGCACAAGAGCCATATGGCCACATTACGAAGGCATCCCAAATCCTTTCCCAGACAAGCAGCCACGATCGGGTCTGCCGCAGTTATGACCACTTGAAGTACAGACTGGCGCAGAGCTGCTTGGAGGCTCTTCATGCTCCTGTCTGTGTTTTTTGGTGCCACTGTGTGCAGCCTGGCTCCCGCATTCCTCTGACACAATGGCATTCCTCCTGTCTCAGATAGACCTAGGACTGGCCTCCTACAGCTACTCCCCAAATACAGTACATGATGTATTAAACAAAGCGGACAAAACAAATAATTCCTTCATTAACTTTCATCACTGTAATACGAGCATTACTGGACCAAGTCAAAACGGTTTGTTACAGTTTTGTCTGTGCTTGGAACATAAAACATTGATAAGCAAACACGAGCATATACTCGACAGGAGCATATGAGGCATCCTCACTATCATCCCTGTACATTTTTCTTCAGCAGCATCTCTTGGCTCGCCCTATTTGAGGGAGTGCAAGCATGTCTGTAGTGAAGCGATTGGCTGCTCTTTAACTTTCTGTCTTGTTGCGATGCCACAGTCGTGCAGACACCTTTCCCTCCTGCTGACTCAGTAGGCAGCCTGAGGCGCTGTGGGCTCAGGGTGTGTGTGGGGGAGGAGGGGATGAGAGCTTCCACATCAGCCTATCACATGCGATGGAAAAGAGCTGGCTAATCGTTTCTACAATGGCACTGTGCACACTGACACACCACCACAAACCGCTCTCTTTACTGCACTTCTCTGTATTCACCACTGTTGCGTAGGGTCACATGTGATGTACGCCACTAAAACGCAGATATGACGTCTTTTAAGTGAATGTATTAGTACACAAATAAAGATATGTATAAAACACACTATTGCATACTGCGTTAATAGTATGCAGCCTGCCTAGGCCAGAGGAAATATGTTTTATAATTATTGTTTGTATTACAGATATTTTTAGTTCCTCTTTTCTTGTTTTCCTTCTAGTGGCGCAGTCTCAGGACCTTTGGTTTCTAATTCTGCTAATTAACAGCAACCGTATACATTCACAATGCCGTTCCAAAACACAACAGATCTAAAATGGAGGTTGAATGATACAGGGATTTTCATGACCAGCGCATACTGTTTAAAATTCAGAGAAATCCATGGCTGATCTTCCTGTTCATGCTGATTTTCTTCTTTATGCAAGACAAACAATTTACCCAAAATATTTATCTTGTTTGAATGCACTACTACAACAGCAGTGCAGTGCCCTCTCACTTAAATGCCCAAAATAATTATTAATATATTTTAGTCAGCGGTCCAAATGGCCTCTGCTCAAGACTTAAGCCTGCTGTACTAAAAAGTGCAAACATCGGCCAGAAATATTTTGACCGACCTGTTCCGTTATAAAATGGAGTTAAAATGTGACATTTGTCGTTCATCAGTGAAATATGTGTACGGTGCTGTGGTAATTAGAAGTGACAGATCTTTGAAACATGTGTTGTGATATCATTAGCACAGAGGGGGGGTCCTACTGCCAAGGGTCACACATGAAAAGAGGCTCAAAGGCATGCGGCCATTAACAAAGCCACCTGCTCCACACAGACGGAAAGTGAATGTGGAGCGAGGGGTAGGGTCTGAGTGTGTTTGGGCCTGTGTCTTTTCTGCGAGGGGTTGGAACCAAAACTAGTGTCTGCTCTGTCCAACCCTTTTTCAAACCATGTATTTCTGTTTATTTTAAATCCTGTCTGTGAAATTTATATTTTAACTTTGATAACTTTGACACTGAGATATCCACTTTCTGTTCCAGGTCAAGTTCTCAATGATCTTTGCTACTGCTCTTTTAAACTGCCAGACATGTACTGTCTCAATATAGGACACATTTCTTTATTAATTGAATTGTAACTAAGAGATTATAGATTTATTATTTTGTTCAACTCCAGAGCATAATATGCGATGACTGGATATTTTGGTATGGGGCCGTTTCATGACATACCTTGTAATTACTGCAGAATGACACAGAAAATGTGTAAAATAATGTATTCTTGATCAACGTCCAATTTAGTGCAGCTAATTTCAATGAACATTTTCTCATGTGGTTTGTTTTTCAAGATCTAAACAGCTAGCCCATTTATCACAATTAAGTATAAACGAATAATCAGCCAAATAATCAATTCTCAAAATAGTCAGATAGACAGACAGAAAACATAGGACCACATTTTGTAAAACATTCAAAGCGGCAGGCTACGAACTGATGTCATTCAGATTGGGATCCAGAACTACTAATTCTAGAGCTGCGTCACAATGAAAAGTTCGACGGAGAATGAAATGAGGAAAATAAATAAACAATCAAGGCTCATTTGGTTCCCAGGGTTAAGTTTGGAATGGGCGTTCACTGATTTCAACTTCATATCATTGACGTACTTTGAGGAACTATTTCCTCATACCATATAATAAAGGTATCATATTTTGTATTTTCTAGTATATCTCTATGGACCTCATTCTGACCCCCATGACTTGATTAGATTCTAATTCAAAGTTTGAGGAGCACTAAAAAACAACTTTATACTCTACAACCTGTGTGGATGTTTAGTGCAAACTCTTCTATATTGTTATTCTGTTTGTTCTTATAATGTAAGAGAATGACAGCATTGTTTACAGCACATGGAGGATGCTGTTCGAAGAAGGTCACATCTGTGATATAGAGCAGGTCTGGAGCGGCGGCTTCCTCCATGTGTTGATGTGAGTGAGGAAAAGCTGGGAATCCTGATTTCCACTGCACTTTATCTGCCTGTGCCAGTCAGAGCAGAGTCTCAGCTGCAGCCCCACAGGAAGCAGCACTCCACAAGGGCAAAGGTTAGTTAGGGAGCGAAAGACCCATCCTTTTGGAACTATTACTTTTTAACATATAACATTTTGTGCACATGCAAGTATAGGCGTTTGAATTTTCGAAATGTGCAATTTTTAATATTGTATTTGGTTTTGGATTGAATAATCATAAAAACAAGGGATAACCAACAGTATGAAACAAAATAAGATGAGACATACTTTGAAAAAGTCACTTCAGGTTTATTGATCCTAAAGAAAATTAAAAACACAGCGAGTGGGAAACTGCATAATAAAAATACACATAAAAGACTTCATCTGTCCAGCAGAAATAGGCTAACTTTAAAATATTGTTATAGCAATGTTCTTTGGCAACAGAAACAGAAAAACATTGAGAAAAGCTGAATCAATGGTGGGCAGTAACTGAGGATTAAAGGGGGTTCTTCTCTTCTTCAAGTATCTGAGACAAACACATTGCATGGATGTATAAAGTGGAACACATGGCCCGCATGCATGTCCTCTGGAGTGGCCCAGTCTCTAGTCCGGCACAGCGCCCATGTACGCGCTACATGAGGTACTCCGGGGACGACGGGCTGTCACTCGTGGAGCCCGTGTCATGGTAGCAGCCGGCCCCGGACAGTTTCTCACACTTTTGTTTGTACACATCCCGCTCTCGGACCAGTCTGCTGAGCTCGTGTTTGAGCTGCTCCACTTGTGACACCAGGCTGCTCTTCTCGTGCTCCAGGACGTGCTTCTGCTGGACGCGCTTGTAGCGGCACGACTGCGCGTAGCCTCGGTTCTTCAGGGTCCTGCGCTTCTGTTTAAGCCGCATCACCTCGTCTTTGCCCAGGCCCCGAAGCAGGCGATTGAGTTCGCGCACGGACATGGATACGAGCTGGTCATCTGAGAAGTGCATGTCAGGGTTCGAGCGCCGCTCGTGCCGGCTGTGCTGCGGGACATGGTGCGCTCCCAGGACCTTCTCTGGAGACTGCGGGGACGCGCTGCGGAGGTCGTCCTTCAGGTACGGCTCGTGACAGTGGCTCTGCAAGTCCCCGTAGTGCACTGGGTCGCCCATGTGGCCGTAGCTGTCGTACTCTGGCTGGAAGGGGGGCTGTTGTGGATGAGCAGTCGGGCCCTGCTGTGCAGTGGCTCCGATCAGAGCCTCCACCGCGTCCTCGGGCGTCAAGCCAAATGCTTGCGGGTACATCTGCTGTGGGTACGCGCTACCGTGCATCCAGAACTGTTCTCCGCCGTTGTGCCCACGCGGCTCGTTCAGGTGCAGACTCGGTGAGGAAGGGACAGAGTTGCAAGGTGTGCTGCCGGGTGTCGAGGACACGGAGTCTGGTCTCTGGAGCTGGTTGCACGGCCCCACAAAGCTTCGCTCCATGTCTTGCATAGTCTCCTTTTTAACGCCAAACTTCACCAAGTCAAAATCGTTGACAAAATCCATGGAGTTCTTGTGAATCCCAGACGAGCTTCAGTGATCTAAACTGGCCGCTGTCAGTTCATACACAAACGCGTCTCTAAATACGTCCAAAAAAGTCTTGCGCGGTGAGAATGCGTGCGTAAAGCTACTGCGTTGTCACACTCCGCACAGAGAAAAGGCGCACTGTGCCTAATCTTGAGGAGCGCACTTTGCTCATAAAGAAACCCGGGAGAGTCACGCCTTCTGGACTACACCTCCGCCAGCTTTACCAATAAGAGCGCACATGAGAGCTGCATTTGCATAAAGGCTGCGAGAAGCACGGGCTCTGCGTGACCATCATTTGACCAAAGCCTATAAAAGCCGAATATGCGGACCATATCTTCAGCACTGCATTTACTGTTCTTCAAGCTTATGTCCCCACGCTCTCACAGTACATACACTTTTATGTCCAAAATCCAAAAATTTTCTTGAGCACATAACACGGGATTCAATGAATTTACTTTAGTGTTTTGCTTTTTTTTTGTTTTTTTTTACGATTATAGTTATGTCCAAAACGCACCAAATCCACAATGATTTTAAATACTGCATCTCACAGATATAACATACTTTAACTAATAATAAATAATTCTAAGATTCCTGATCAAAGACCCCCAGGGAAAACACAGTGGCAAACGATGCATTCCTTTAGACAAAAACATAAACAGTTTTGAACAGACATTGTTCTTTAATAAACAGACTTTGTACTTTAATTCTTGGACAGGCTAATAAACATCTGTAAACAAGAGCAAAACAATTTCACGAAAGGTCTCTTATTCCTTATACCTGTTATAGTGAAGCTGTAGTATAACCTCAGCTTTAGTAGAAAACATAAAAAAACCAAATAAGATCAATCCAGAATGTACCCCAAGCTCTCATTAGGCTTTTAGGTTTCTAACAAGATTCAGTTCCACACTTTAGAATGACACCCTCACACTAGATATGAGAGGTGAAGGGGAAGCTCCTACCCTGATGTGACCTCTCTTGGCCATTGCACACAGCACAAGGGAAGCTCCATTGACAAGATAGAGAGCCCGAAAGCCACTGTCAGCTGAATGTTAGCACGGAAAGCCATTGTTTGAGGCTGGGAAATACAGAGAAAACTATAGCACAGGCATGGCAACAAGATGTGTGTCAAAGAGAAAGATCTCCAGGCTTCATTCATCCTCTTAAAGCTGGAGTATAGCATTTGAAACCACAAAAAAATATTGTAAATCTAAGTCATTCATTGCTCTCAAAACTGTTTGATTCAATCAGAGGTTTTCATGTGTGTGTGTTTTTGGTCAAATCTTTAGATGGTGAAAAAGAGAGTACCATCCAGCTCTCAGTATGTAAAAGATAACATGGGTTTTTTTTAATAAATTGGAAAAGGCAATATTGTGTGGTCTGATTTGTTGTATAACCCTAAATCCCAACAGTAGTTATCTAGGAAGACTTAACAAAACCTTTAATTCGCCAACACAGATCAGAGAATCAAACAGTCCAAACACAAAAAAGGCAATGATAAAAACCACATAGAGCCATTGGTCCACAAGGGGCAGATGATCAATGTCCATAAATGTTGATAAATGTCCATAAATGTTGATGAATGTCCATAAATGTTGATAAATGTCCATAAATGTAGTTGAATGTTGAGTGTTCTGGATAATCACCATAGTCCTTTTGACCCAGACAAGCATCAGCAAGGAATAACTTTAAAACCCAGTGGGAAAAGGTGAGAAACCAGGGAAGTCCACATTGAGAGAGGGATCCGCTCCCACGGACGGACAGACTAAAGAACCAGAACTCAGGCTACAGCACGAGGACCAAGACCATTAAACAAGACTCTTTCGTCTAAGACAAAAAAAATATGTTTATCGGACCAAAAAAAGTTAGGTACTTTAAAGAGAAGACAATGATCACAACAAACAAAAAATATTAAAAAGGGATTAAGATTAGGAAGTGTTTTTATTAAAAAGTGGATCATATTGTCTTCGTTTGATCAGGAAAAGAGTTTGAAACAGCAGTGGATTGTGACTATACTAAATTGAGGAATAGTTATTTGGATGAAACAACACAAAGAAAGATGTCCTATAAAGGGGAAAACTGAGCCTTCTGCAATGCTGCCATCTGCTGCACATTTACAGACAGAACATGTGATTTAATCCAGCTATGTGAATAAAATAAAGATATAAAATTATTGCTTTTTAGTCTAGCACATTAGTTGCTGATAAAAAAACCATAATGTAAACCATAATGTCAAACATGACCAAAGTAGTGACAACTATTGGTAAATTATGGACTGTGTCAAGTCCCGGTTTGTATATACAACATTATTCCCTCATGGCACTTGTGGAGTTTGGTTGTTATGTCAACACAAAGGTTTAAAATACAGTGATAGCTCCACTTAGTCTATACAAAGCAAATATGGAACGAACAAGCAGCGTCAGGAGAAAAGCCTTGGCAAGACAGCATAAAGCAGAAGTTATGATTGCTGGTGAACAAGTGCGGTAAGACAAACTCATTCAAAAACATTTCATGGCCAAGGTTTTCATTTGTTTGTGTTTTGGGGTGAGGCAGACTTAAACTTCATGATGGGAAGCTGATCAAGGAGCGACGGTATCACCTGAGGACGTACCCCAACTGTTTGGTGGGACAGGAGGTGATTGACTGGCTGGTGAGCCATAAAGAGGCTCCGGACCGGATTACAGCCGTGTGCCTCATGCAGCACCTCATGGATCAGGAAATTGTACACCATGGTAGGAGAAAAACTTGGATTAGTTTAATGGCCATATCAATCTTACAACTATTGTATTATTGTAATAGTTAGTCCACTAATTTAGTCAACTAGTTTTAGTTTTATCACTAATAATTCTCTAATAACTCCTGAATTGAATTTAAATGTGTTAACAAAATATTGTTAATCAAAAATCCTGATATGGGTCATCTCTATGAAGATGTTCTACAGGGGCATAACTTGTTGAGCTTTTTGAAAAAAAAATATATATATATTATCATAACAACCAACTTTTGGGATACAGAACAACAAAAAATGACCAATTAATCGATTATCAATATAATTGTTAATTACAGCCCTAAATTAAACAAACAATATGGTTACAAGGAAACACATAGGCTCCATTTCAAGTATTATTAGTATTATCACAGACTTCAAGTTCAGACTCCCATTGCCCAATCCACAATATAAAATACTTGAAATTAGGATCTGATTTTAAAACGGCTGCCAGATCTTAAGTTTTTACTCTCATGTTTCCTTTTGCAGTGTGTGATAAGTATTCAATATTTAAAGATGCAAAAAGACTCTATCGTTTCCGTAAAGATGATGGCACATTTCCCTTCAACACTGAGGTGAAAATCTTCATGAGAGGACAACAATTGTATGAACAGTAAGACCAAACGTTTGTAAAGTATTCATCCAAGATGCAGGAAAGAACACTTGATAAAAAACCTGTAACAGGGTTCCTACAGGTTTCTTCAAGCCAATTTTGTCTTTTTAAGAACATTCAAGACCTTTTACAAAACAAACGTAATAACCATTCACAGACCACAGACCAACGTTGTTGTTTTTTAATATGTGAAAATTAGAATATTGTTCAAAGTTTTTGTAAATGTTAAATACATGATATAGACTTATTGTGACATATGCAAAGCTTTTGTATGTTTTAACGTTGATGATTATGGCTTAAAGTCCATGTTTTTAGGGTCTTTGCAAGCTGTAAGCCAATTATGTACATTCTAACATATAAAGCCTTGCCATATCTCACTTTGTGTGTAATGGACAAGTGAATGTACTTTTGAACACGGATTTTTGGCTTGTGGTCTGGGTTTGTGTTGTAGTGCTGCAGCAAAGTGCCATGTTCGGACCAGGGGCAGTGTTTCACCACTTATGTGACTCTTCATCATGTGTTCATCTTGAATGAACATAGAGGTTTAAAAATAAAACTTTTGAGGAGAATACTGGGAAGTTACATACTGCACAAATTTTAAGACCCAGATATAAAAAAAAACATGTATTTTAAGGTGTTATTTCCAAATTGATAAATTCAATGATTTAAAGACCATGTAGGAACCCTGAAGGTATGTACAGTATGTATTTTTGCAAGGGGGCACACTTTACAGGCAATACTAATACTCATTTTTTAAGGCTTATAGGGGACAAGCACTCAATCTTGCAACTCAGAGAGGAACATGGTGTGTCTTATCAGCGCTCATTTCGAGGATGTGAGCTGATTGACTGGATCATTCAGAATGGAGAAGCAGAGAGCCGGCATTGTGGACTGGACCTTTGCCGGGCCTTGTATGAGCATGGCATTATCCAGCATGGTGAGTATTGTGCTCCTGAGATTGACAGCCTGCCAGTGTTTTAGTATAAAGACGCACTCCTCGGGACTTTTACTCACTCTATTTATGTCTCCCCAATCTAGTGTCAAAAAAGCATATTTTCTTTGACAGTGGACTGCTTTACCAGTTCTGTATAAATTTTCGCCGCCGCCGAAGATTATCAGAACTAATAAGTGATACTGAGCAAAACAATGAAGAAGTAGGAATGGTGTCCTTAGAAGAAAACAGCAGCCCATTTGTTGCCAGTAAAAACCCACTGCATGACGAACCCAGTGGCTTCCAGTCTGGTATGTTACAATAATACAATTTTTAAAAATATATTTTCTTCAATTAAACTGTTCAAAAATTGTGACGATTGAACAACAGTGGGCCTTCGTAAGGAAATTAAGTCACTCACCAGTGGCCGCAGAGGCAGTTTCAACTCTCGGGCTGATTTTCCTTCTTTCACACCACGGGCTTCAATATCTATGGTCCTGTATAACCCCAAATCAGGTAAGAGTGTTTAGGAGTACTGACTATTAAATTTACTATTTAACATTCAAAAACAAATACATCTTTCATTGCTTTAGTGCTCTCTCGAAATATCACATGTGGGGAGTTACTGGCACCTGGAGCACCTTTCATCAAGAGGGTGTTGACGGTCAGTAGACACAATGACGTACGAGTGGGACAGAGATGCACAGGGGAGATACAAACTTTTGAGCACCCCATATCAACAGCTATATAAAATAAATACTATATTTTCATAAAAAAAGGCTAGACCAAAGTTTAGGCACCCTCCCTATTGAATTCTCTTAACCCCAGAACCAATGCAGACACAACCCCAAAGCATGATGGATTGGTTCAATGCTTTAGTTGGGCTCATGTTAATTTTCAATGAAATTCTCTTCTCCAATCACAGTTTGCTCATTATGGCCAATAGGTTTCATCTCTCCAAATACATACTTGTTTGCTGATTTGCACTCACCGCTGTGTCTGATTGTCTGTGTTTGTGAGCATTCTAACTCCAAAAGTTATGGGAGGATTTTAAATCTGCGACCTAGGAGTGCATGCCTAGTTTTCTATTTAAATTTTGTGGGGTTTTTTGTTGATGTCATCAGGGGTGTCCAAACGTACACTCGATCATTTTATCAAATAACTTGAAAATTATGATACAACCCTGCTTTATTGTGCATTTTTAGAAGAGTACATATGATAATAGTAATAATTTAAAATATATATATATATATATATATATATATATATATATATATATATATATATATATATATATATATTATATAAAATAATGATAATAATAAGCAATATACAAAGGTAAGTCACCTGAGTTCACATGAGAGAAGCTTGTACTGTTCCTCTTCAAAGATGTGAGAACTCACCATGATTGCAGGTGATTGGAGATGCTTTGGGCTGGGGCTTTGTTGTCAGAGGGACTGCTCCTGTCTATGTACAAGCTGTGGACCCTGGAAGTCCAGCTGCAGCTGCAGGGATCAAGGTAGAATAATAACATTATTCCTGCTGTTTGCAAATGCTTCTAATACGAATGAAACTGAATGTTGCTTTTGTTTAGGTGCGCCAATTTGTGTACCAGGTGAATGGACAATTTGTTCTGTACATGGACTACAGAACAGTCACTAGACTTGTGATGACAGGAACCCGTACTGTTGTAGTAGAAGTTCTGGAACCGCTAGAAGACTAAGAAATGGCTGTTCTAGTCCACAATATGAATAATAAACAATATACCATATTATTTTGTATCTTCTGACCAGTCATTGACTTCAACCATTCCCAATCAAACGCATCATAACTCACCCAGTCAACAACTTCCGTTTGAGAGTGTTTTTTTTTTTTTTTTTTTTTTTTTTTGGTGGCTCCGCCATTTTGAAGAAAATTTGGCTCCAGTTTTCAGCACATACAGCGGGAGCCCGGGGTCCGGGGCCCAGGAGAACATACAGAACACTCACCGATCACTGATGGTTAGCATTGCACGTCCATTTCTATTTGGACGTCACTGACTTTTCTTTTTATCTAAATTCTTAAATAACGGGTTCATTTACTGGTATTACAGCTAACTAGCCTGTGAGCTAATGCTAGCTGAGAATCAGAACCGGCTTGGGATCAACGCCGCACCTCCCAGCGCAGATACCTCCTTTGTTCGTCCAGAGAGTACCAAGAGCGAAAAGCTTCATAACAAGGTAAATGCACCTCATCGATCATGTATATGATCGTGGCTCCCGACAGTTTTCCACGAGTTCTGTGTGTATGATAGTCGTGTAGCATGGGAGATGCCTGGAATGTTAGCGCCATGCTAATCTGGAAAGCTAACACAGCTCCAGCACACCGTGCCTATCGACTGATGCTCACGGTTTTTTTGGTAAACTTCTTGACTGCCCCATTATGATAACTTTTCTGATGGCTTGCACAGCCGTGTCCCTGCCTGTGCATAGACTGCATTGTTATTGGGTTGCAAATCTTCACACGTCCTCTGTTCTGTAGGAAACATGTATCAACTACCGGTGAATAACCTCGCCAGAATTCGGAGGGCCAGGAAACAAGTAAAGAAATCACTTGGAGACATTGGTCTTGAGCTTTGTAAAGAGGCTGTTGAGGTGAGTTTAGCGTCTTGATATGCCTTTGGGGAAGTAAACCAAGTCTTTATACCAAGTTTGTTTGCTTTTAACAGGATTTCAAGGATTTTTGTCCTGATGAGCAGTATGTACAAGGCACTCTATGTCTGGATCTTTGTTCATGGGACCCCTCTTATTCCAAAACCCAGGTTGTGTTCAGTTTTTCTGTGTTATTTTGTATTATTTGGCTGTTAAATCTAACATTTATTTTATCGTTTCAGGTATACAGGTCAAAACCATTTTGTTGCTCTGAGTGTCCGTTCTCCTCAAAGTTCTACTCTGGCTACAAGAATCATTTTCGCAATGTTCACAGAAAAATCTTTGATAGAATTTTTCTGAACTGTCCTTACTGCACGTTCACTGCAAACAGGAAGACTATGGAGATTCATATTAGAATATTTCATCAGTCTAGGCTGCCACAATCAGGTGCTGCAAATGCAGGGCAACAGATTGCAACCTCAAATCACACTGGAATGAGGCAGAAAGATTCTTCCTTCCTTGGACGAGCCAGGCAGGTCGATGGTGTGGAGAAACCTGTGTACTATTGCAAAAAGTGCACATTCCGGGATTCATTATACAATGTTGTTCGACGTCACATCTACAGAGAGCATTTTCAACATGTCGTTGCTCCATATATTGCCATGGCCCCCAACCCGAATGCTAAAAATGGTGTTAGTAGCACCATTCTCTGTAAACGTTGTCAGTTTTCCACGCGCAGTTACGAGGCACTAGTGCAGCATGTTGTGGAGTATCATGAACGCATTGGAGCCCAAGTGACTGCCATGGTTGGGCATGCTAATTTGATGGTCAGTAAACCTCAAGCATCTCCTTTAATTTCTCAAAGGGTCCCTGTAATCACAAATAGAGCGTCGTCCCTCTCAGGTGATGCCGGGGTGCAACCAGTGATTGGCTATCTAAAACCAAATGCCTCAAAAACGTACCCTGCCTTGGCACCAAATAAAAGCCGTAGTTTACAAGACAAAGGCAATTTGGCAGAGAATGTTCCATTGTTTAACACATCTCAAACTCAAAAATGGAAGATATGCACAGTTTGCAATGAGCTTTTTCCGGAAAATCTCTACAGTGCTCACTTCGAGAGTGCCCATAAAGCAAAGAAAGTATGGGCTCTTGCAAAGTATATCATGAAAATTCACAACTTCACCAGCAAATGTTTGCTTTGCAACCGCTATTTACCCAGTGATACGCTGCTTAACCATGTCCTGATACATGGGTTGACTTGTCCACAGTGTCACTCAGCTTTCCATAGCGTAGAGAAACTTATTGAGCATGGGACCATGGCTCATTCATCTCCTTTTGATGGCCCCCCTGGAGCTTCACCTCTGACTTTTGATCTTGCTCTCAAACAAGATAAATCCAGAAATGTGCAGTTGCTTGTTCTTACCTTCAATACAAATGAACCTGTCAATGGCCAAGAAGACAATTTGCTCACTAGTCTAGGATTGACAAAAACCCAAACTTCCATCATGTTTGAGAATAAAGGGCAGTCTTTGACCAAAAACGCACTTCCATCCATGTCAAAGAAACTCGAAGTAGGAAAGACTCTGTGCCCTCTTTGTTTTACTATTCTCAAAGGTCCAATATCGGATGCTTTGTCTATGCATTTGAGGCAGCGTCACCAAGTGCTACAAACCATGCATCCAGTTGAGAAGAAGTTGACATACAAGTGTATACATTGCCTGGGAGTCTACACAAGTAACATGGTGGCCTCTACAATTACACTTCATCTTGTGCAGTGCCGGGCTGTGGGGAGAAGTCAGGCTGCCCTTGACCTAAAATCTCCCTTAAATTTTGGTACATCTGGGGCAGGGTTACTTAAACGGAAACTGCCAATGCAAAGCACAGCTAACCCCAAGAGAATGAATCTAGGCAAGGACTCAAATGAATGTGTTGACCTTGTCCTGGATCCTGCCGGTTACGAGCACAAGCCGTATGATGCCAGAAAAGATTTCCTGACTGCCTATTTTCACCGCCGTCCCTATGTGTCTGCTCAGGAAAAAGATAAACTTTCAACAAAGCTTTGGTTGTGGAAATCTGATGTATCCAACCACTTCACAGTAAAACAAAGAACATGTGAGAGAAATTGCAGAAATACAACACTGTCTGTATTTTTGGGATTCAACATGCTTGCTCTAAGTAAAGTAACTCATAATTTGCTTGTTGAAGACAAAGACCCAGAGACAACCACAGTACAGAAAGGATTCAGGTCTCGTGTTCCCAAGCCAGTTGAAAGTAACTGTACCTCAAAGCCTGTTGAAAGCATGGAGACCATATCGATTGACTCAGACAGTGAGACTGAGATGGACAATAAACCAAGTAAAATGAGATCCAATGATGGACCAGTAACTGAACATGAGTCAAACTCATGTGATCCAGATGAAATGGGAAATTGTACAGATGAGTCTTCTGTGTCCTCAAAGGCAACTCAAAGTGAGAGAAAAATGATCAAGCAAGAAAACACAGATGCATGTGTGTCTCCTCCGATAGAAGAGCAAGAGGATTCATTTATGTCTCCGATAGAAGAGCAAGAGGATTCATGTGGGTCTACTCCAACAGAAGAGCAGGAGGATACACGTGAGTCTACTCCAACAGAAGAGCAGGGGGATACACGTGAGTCTACTCCAACAGAAGAGCAGGAGGATACACGTGAGTCTACTCCAACAGAAGAGCAGGAGGATACACGTGAGTCTACTCCAACAGAAGAGCAGGAGGATACACGTGAGTCTACTCCAACAGAAGAGCAGGAGGATACACGTGAGTCTACTCCAACAGAAGAGCAGGAGGATACACGTGAGTCTACTCCAACAGAAGAGCAGGAGGATACACGTGGGTCTACTCCAACAGAAGAGCAGGAGGATACACGTGGGTCTACTCCAACAGAAGAGCAGGAGGATACACGTGGGTCTACTCCAACAGAAGAGCAGGAGGATACACGTGGGTCTACTCCAACAGAAGAGCAGGAGGATACACGTGAGTCTACTCCAACAGAAGAGCAGGAGGATACACGTGAGTCTACTCCAACAGAAGAGCAGGAGGATACACGTGGGTCTACTCCAACAGAAGAGCAGGAGGATACACGTGGGTCTACTCCAACAGAAGAGCAGGAGGATACACGTGGGTCTACTCCAACAGAAGAGCAGGAGGATACACGTGAGTCTACTCCAACAGAAGAGGAGGATACATGTTCGTCCCCTCTAATGGAAGAGCAAGAGGATTCATTTATGTCTCCAATAGAAGAGCAAGAGCATACTGAGATAAATGCAAACATGTCACCATGTCAAAGCCCCGAGGAACAGAGTCAATCTCCAGAACCAATGGAACTGTAATTCACAATATGCTTTGTTGGAATAATGTTGTAATTGGACAGATTTAAATAAATAAGTGGCTTGTTCTTAGCATATTGAGGGTTACATGTTTTGACAGTTTCTGCTGTTTATTTTAACTTCAAATGCTTTCATTGCTGTAAATATGATTTCATTAGCTGCTTAAAACATCAGTCATTTTTTTTTTTTTTTGGTAGTTACTATGACATGTTGTGCTTTTACATTTATGGACAAAGTATGTACACATTTAATAAAGCTTGTTTAATATATTTGCATCATGTCAATCTTTTTAGGAAAGCAAAGTTTTTCAGTTTGTTTCAGAGGTTCTGGGCAGTTAATCAAGTAAACTGATATCAATTCAATTCAACTTTATTACGGACTCAAGGTCCAGAAAAGACAGCGACATCACAAACAACATTAAACTACAAACAAATAAGTTACACAGTCCCTTTAAAAAGACAGCTATACCAGTGCCTCCACATTAGCGACTGATAGCGAATGGCACTACAGGTGACATCAACCAATGAACCAATTACTGTATTAACAGACTTATTCAAACGGCATATGAAACGGTACATAAGCGTCCGCAGTGTGGCTTGCAGCGTGTTTATTCCAGCAGTGACAAACATCTCACTCGCTCTGGTCCATCTCGGCCTCCTGAAAAGCACACGCAGAGCGTCGTTATAGGCCACCTGGCCTGCAACCTTTGGAAAGTTCCTTTTTTATAGTTCGACCAAATGTGCGCTGTGTACAGAGGTGTACAATATGATTTGAACAACATCATTTTCACTTTGTCCGTACAAAAGCCAAAATAGAACAACTCATGTACAATTCTAAATACCACACCAGCTAATACATATGCAGGTATACTGTTACCATGTTATTGATTTCGTAACAAAAACTTAGAGGATAAAACATTTGAAATTACGTTTTGTACGATACAAACAAACAAAAACGTATGTATACATACAGCATATGTTATTTTGTAATATATCCGGTTTCTCTTTGAAATGGGTGGGACTTCCGAATGATACAGGAGCAGAATTGGCCAATCGCCAGCGTGCATCACTGCCCAGGCCCAGCAGTCAGCAGCTGCAAAAATGTCCATTATTGTGTCTAGAGTGACATGGATCTATGTTCGGAGGCAAACGAGGATGTAGCTGCACGGATAATACAATGAAATAGCAGGTAGAAGGACTGCAGTCTCTCATGCGGAGCATCTTCAGATAACCACTGGTTTTGACTCGTATTTAGTTGACTAGACCTCCGCTAGTTAGCATATTTAGCTAAATTCGACAAGATGTGGCAGATCCAAGCTGTCAACATTTGCTCTGCTGGAACAAAAGGTCGTCTTTTGTTGTGTTTAACATTACAGTAAAGGCTGTAACTGTGAGTTTGGGCGATTTACTTCCATTCACGTAAAGCGGACCTTACTAAAAGCCAAACAACGCGATGTCATGTTTTACGACCATTGCCAAGATTGAAGTAGCTTGTGTCGGAGCTAAAGCTGCTTATAGAAAAAAGCTACACTCATAAAAGCCTCATTGCTTTATTTCAAGCTGGGATAAACAAACGAGTGATGTCAGTGAGGCATGACCCGTGAGGCCTAGCACTTTCCAGAAAAGCTGTGAAAGCTTCTGATCTGATGACACTAAAAACCATGTCACAGTTCACCAGCGCTATATTGTACATGTATTTATTACCAGTCCTATCTCATTTTCAGTCTATTTCACCGTCAATGTTTCTATCTCCTGGCTTCAGCTATTTATATTTGCCTTTGGGTGTTCAAAATACACTATACAAGCTAATTATGATTATAAGTTTAATTATTATATATACTATTAAGTTTAAACCATGTAGGTTGAATATTTCTATGTGCCGAGATTGTTACTGCTGATAGTTAAGAGTAAGTTAGTAAACTGAGCCAAACAATTGGTTAATTAATCTTTATTAATTGATAAACTATGTGCAAAATTATTCTTTGTGTCCTCTCAGGTGGATCCTCTGATGAAACGACAGGACAAACCATGTTCGCCTAGACTCTGAGGATTTACACTTTGGAAACGATGTCTCCCAGCAACCGAGAGCTGGTGGAGTCCTTCTTAATCTACAAATTATCACAGAAAAACTGCCCTGGCTTGCTGCTTACGCAAGACCCCTCTAGGGTTCTTCCTGAGGGGAGCAAGGTGGCTAATGTTCCAAACGGACTGCTGGCAAACCCGAATGGCACCAGACAAACACTGGCCTCCCCGCCTCCTGATGACTTGAAAGCTGTCCAGACTGCCCTACAGGACTCTGCAGATGAGTTTGAGGAGTTGTTCACGCAAGCGTTCAGCAACCTTTCTTCTCAGCTCGATATTACTCCTGATACGGCTTATAACAGCTTTAAAAGTGTCATGGATGAGGTGTTTAAAGATGGCGTCAATTGGGGAAGGATTGTGGGTCTTTTTGTCTTTGGGGGCGTCTTGTGTGTGGAGTGCGTGGAGAAGAATATGAGCGATCTGGTTCCTCGCATCGCTGACTGGATGACCATCTACTTGGATGAGAACATAGCGTCGTGGATTCAAAGTCAGGGAGGCTGGGTGAGTGTTCTGCAACGTGACTCGCACAAGCAAATGATCACATTTTTATGTAAATATTTTTAAAATGTTAATTGAAATGTACCCACTGTGGGATAAATAAAGAATCTCTTATCTCATCTCAACAACTCAGGTTTTAGTGACACACTGTTAAGAACTCTGAGAACACAAAATCTTACGTAGTGCACTTTTAATTATCAAAGGAACAGTATCTAGCATATCGTTCTCACGGGTGAAACGTTTTCCACAAATATAATCCAAACCAGTGATGTTGAACTCATTTTGATCAGAGGACCAAACTTACAAATTGAGAACTGAAACAAGCTGAAACATTTGCGTATACCTTTGATACCATATCTCCTAATGGAAAGTTTGTTTTGAAGGACACATTTTGCATCTCCAATCTTTTATTTGAATTGCACATATTACCAACACAATTTCCCTTTTTAATCTGTGCAGACAAATACATACAAACAAAAGAACAGCAAGCCTACATATAGGAGTAATATTAAGATGCATAATTCTCATATAGGGTGAAAAGCCAATGAATAAAAGTGAGTTTTTAAACAAGATTTAAAATCATCCACTGATGGGAAGGTCTGTGTGTGGAGAACTAGAGTTTTAAACTTGGGTCTCAGTCTCCCCCGGCTTTTGAGCCTCATTCTGTGACTAACATTATAGAGTTTGAATATTCTGTAGATAGATTTTTCTGTACAAAATGAGCGGACAAAGTTATGTTTTGAAGCATGGAAGGGTGTATTATTTGTTTATTAAATTACTAATTGTGTTTTGGGTCATGGCAGTTATATTTAAATATTTGACATAAAGCAGGTGACACCTTGTCTTTTTACTAATCCCCTGGTGTCCACTGTTGGTGCTCCACTGGCTCTGATTACTGAGCTTCAGCTGCTCAGCTTTAGGCAGTGACCATTCTTCTCTTGTTAGATCAGGGTTCCTCCAGCTCTTAAAAGCATTTAATTTATCAATTTGGGAAACATTTTGTATTGAATCTTGATATCTGGGTCTTAAAATGTGTGCAGTATGCCACTTCTCTGTGCTGCATTCTCCTCAGACGTATAATTTGTCAACCGCTATTATTTAGATTCAACAACGTAATCTAATTAAAGAGTTGTGGAAGTGGTGCAACATGTTTCCTGGTCCGAACTACAATACAGACACAGCCAACAAGCAACATTTTTACATTGCAAGTATAGTAAATAGTGTGTGAAAGGGATTTAAAAAGATTTGAATTTGACTTGAAGAAACCTTGTATAATCTTGAAAAAAATGACTATAAGGTCCAATGTTTAAAGAAAAAAGAATAGTTTGTATTTTTGTTTGTTAATTGTTACACTCTTTAACTAATGATGTGATTTTGTTTGCGTTTCAGCACCGCTTTGCTCAGATCTTTGGTCAGAACGCAGCAGCAGAGGCGAGGCGATCTCGAGAGACTATGAAGAAATGGCTGCTCGTTGGGATGGGGGTTCTCACTGCGGTGCTGGCTGCTCTGCTCATCGCTAAAAAACAGTGATGGCGCCTCAAGTAAAGCTACGCCAATCAATATAAACAATAACCTGTTTAGTAAATGTTTACAGAATGCTTTGTCTGTGTGACTGGATGCACACCGGCCAATGTGACGTGTAGGAGCATTAATTATGTAGCTTGGTGAGCACCATTCACTGTTACATGGTTTTTATTTTTTCATTCACAGCAAAGACGTTTGTATGTAACTCTTTAAACTGGAATGACTTTATACACAAACATTATAAGCTAAAAGTTAAAGCAATTTAGCCGGTCGATTATGAACCTGTTGATTTTAATCTTTTGTGTTGTTTCCCAGGATCAATAATAGATGCTCACAAACTGACAGTGTATGTGTCCTTCTCACTTGTACAGTACTGAAGTTTCTTTTTGGCTGCACTGGACTTTCAGGCATGCTTAAAATAATAAATATATTTATGTTTTTGCATGTGCCTACTTTTGTAATGTAATTATCAAATCAAAACGAAATGGATGTGATGGCAGTGATGCAGATATTGTTACTCGCATTAGTTTAGCACAGGGGTCTCCAACCTTTTACATTCAAAGAGCTACTTTTACACAACAAAAGAGGTAGAGAGCTACTCCTTTTTGCAGTCGTAATAAAAATCTACTGTATGTAATACTTCCAACTTGTGTTTCCAACAAAAGTTGGAAACACCCTAACACTTAGAATATTTTCCTACTGTACACATAACCCTATATGTATACTCATAATAGACATGTATTCATTCAAGATCATTTGTTAAATTCTAAATCCTTTGGCGAGCTACCTGAAAAGGGGCTGGCGAGCTACTGGTAGCTCCCGAGCCGCAGGTTGGAGACCCCTGGTTTAGCAGTATCAAGGGAGCTTCCTGAGCAGAGTATTCATTTTCCAACAGGATCAGTAGGTCCTCTGTAACTGCGCTTGGCCTAACATGTCACTTTTCATCACTAAATAGTCCCTTTGTCACCTATAAACCATCACAGTTCAACCAGATGCTTGACTGTGGTATTGGGAGTAAATATTCAAATGTCTTGAGGCGCAAAGGAAGTAGTCGTGATCATCATGTAATGTTCATGTGACAAATCCTATAAGGACTTTTGCCAGAATGTTTAAACAATGTATTTAGGAGAGAACATGTGAGCGTGTTGTGTCTAATTGAGCCCTGGGCTTCGTCTGCGGCCTTCAGGAGACTTCTACTGGTAAAGCACAAGTATAGTCTGATGTGTCCCCCTCACTCTCAAACTAAATAATATCGTTACAATGCGCATTAGCGCGTGCGTATACAATACATGTTTTTTTTTTCTCCACGAATTAAGCATGTTGCACAGTCTGTGTCTGTCCTCTTGGGAGCGACATCGCTCCTAAGTTTATGGCTGGATCAGTGAGACTTGGATGTGAGCGCACAGATCAGAGGTGAGTGCTACAGTGAGCCAACCGTTATTATTATAGATCCATGGCCAACACGTGCCATGTTTTTCCGTTGCAAGAGCTTTTAAGTCCAGACCATGGATCTATAATATTAACGGTCCAGACTGATTGGCTTTTGTTGTGTTGTCTAATAATAATCCGGTTAACTTGATCTGTTAAAAGAATGAATATATCAATGAGCATTTGCTCTGACTCTGATGCAGAGCCATTTAAAAAAAAGATATTTTGTTCATTCGATACTTCACGGCACCTTGCATATTTATGATGCTTGACAACATTTGAAAATGCCAGTAGAGGGCAGCACTAGCACTAAATACCACGGACTGTATAATAGATACTGATACTTTATTGGTGTAACTAGTTTTCACAAACAAAATAAGAATTAAAAGAAGTTTAGGTAGTAAATTGTATTTCGTTGAAGACATTCAAAGTCATAAAAAAAAAATTTAAATGTAAAATACAGCTGACTTTTGAGATGGAGATTTCTTGTTTTCTGGGGGGGAAAAGCAAAGACTCATGCTAGACTAATATTTCCTTCTCCTTTTAATACTATGCAACCCTTTTGCTTTCGGAAACTCTGAACTCTTCTTGTTTTGAATTTGGTGGAATGGCTGTTGGATTCACACCCAATACCAGTGTGTAGGGCTGAGCGCCATAATCTGAAAGTACTTTTTTCCCCACGGTTGTCCTCAAGGATGTTACCTGTCTCAGCTTCTGTTCTCTGCTCCTGCTCATTCTACACACAGATGAATAACATGAAGGATACGTCTGTTTGCTTTAGAAGTGTCACTGTTGGCACGTCGTAGTGAAGCTCTTGTGGCCTAACTGATAAAACCTATCAGTTCTATACACTCCACCCCCCACCCCCACCTCCACCTCCACCTCCACCCCCAAGGCAGACTGAACATGAACTGAACTTATAAGCACGGCCTATGCTGTTTGCATGCTGTTCTTGTTTCGTTTTTTTGGATGGTACTATTTTGTGTTTTGGTATAATTTTATTGTTTTTGGTGTGACTTTACAATATACAATAATGGATACTGAACCTTAACTGTTAGTGACACCTGGACAAAGAGACTCGTAAGGGACTGCTCAAAGGTCAGGACTTAATGCGACCAACTATTCAAATGAGTGCCAAAAAGGCAGTGGTGGATCAATATCAAAATACTCAAAATTAATTAGTGTATTAAAGGTGGGAGGAAAGGATTTGTCTGTATTTATAAAGCACCAGTGGACATACACCTTAATTTAACCTTAATCAGAAGCTGCGTTCTGGAGTTCTAGGGATTGATAAAATAACTTAGAAATACAAAATCATGGTATCGCCAATTGCCCTAAAACAGTCATGCACAAGAGAGATATCAGTGTCACTCTAAACAACCTCAAAATAATCTCAAAACAAAGCAAAGTGAATCAGTGAGTCTAAAAATAATTACATTAAATGATTATATTTGAGCTGTTAGTGGAGTGAACAGTGGTCATTGAAATGTTCAATGCTTGAGAGGTAGTACCCAATCTTATATATATATCTGTAATTATATGTATTTATTTATATATTTTTTAAAATGTTTAGTTTAGTTTTTTTATAGAACAGGGACAAAACCATTAGTATTAACAAAAGAATACACAATATTTCACTGATCACAATTATAAAAAAAAACTTACCTCACAAAAAATACAACCATAAATACATTGGGTGTTTTTCTATAATGGCATAGGCTGCAATCAACAAATACAATTTCTAATGCTATAAATGCTCATTGATTCATTTCAATTAAATTAACCAAAAACAGGAAATTTACCTAAAAACACACAAGTTTGTTGACTTAATGTGAAATGAGCTTTAACTGTCATTTAATTAACCAGGTATTCAGTTGGTGTCCCTCCCAAAGTTTTTAGCAATCCACAGAAGCCGCCACAACTGTTCGCAGCGGAAAGATGAGCGTCTGGTGAAAAAGGGGAAGACCAATCCAGGCAGGTCACTGCTGGTCAATAGGTCAATAGTAAAAACAAAACATGCATTTCCAAACATAACCACTTCACTTATATTAGTTATTCAGTTTGCAGTATGCCCCTTTACACTAAACAGGCTAAAAGAAACTGCAGTGTTTGCCACTAGCTGCACAGCAAATACTAGGCCACTGATTTGTCTCCTTTTATGCGTGCACCATGGCGACCATACTGATGTTCCTGTAGTACATTAGAGGAGGTCAGGGCTGGAAGCGGAAAGGCACCTATCATTGTAGAGCGAGGGAGCGCTGAAATCTCTCTCTGAGGCCTTCACAGAACAGCTGGTGTACTGTCCGCAATAGTTAGGTTGACATTTGACAATTTTTTAGTCTTCATTGGGCAATTTTTAAAAGCAATTGGTTGCGCTCAAGAGATAATGGGGTTGCAGTGTTTATACTGTATAATCGTAAAAAACATAAATATACAGTGGGTCAAAAATGTATTTAGTCAGCCTCCAATTGTGCATGTTCTCCCACTTAAAAAGGTGAGGAAGGCCTGTAATTTCATCATAGGTATACTTCAACTAGACAGATGGAGAAAAAACAAATCCAGAAATATACATTGTCTGATTTGTAAAGAATTTATTTGCAATTTATGGTGGTAAGTATTTGGTCAATAACAAAAGTTAATCTCAATACTGTGTTATATACCTTTTGTTGGCAATGACAAAGCGTTTTCTGTACGTTTTTGCAAGGTTTTCACACTGCGGTATCTTGGCCCATTCCTCCATTCAGATCTCCTCTAAAGCAGTGATAGTTTGGTGTTGTCGCTTGACAATACAGACTTTCAACTCCCTCCAAAGAATTTCTATGGGATTGAGATTTGGAGACTGGCTAGGCCACTCCAGGACCTTGAAATACTTCTTCGTTGCTGATGGAACTAGGTTTTCTTTCAAAATCTCACAATACATCGCTCCATTCATTCTTTCCTTTACATGGATAAGTTATCTTGGTCCCTTTGCAGAAAAACAGCCCCAAAGCAAGATGTTTCCACCCCCATGCTTTCCTGTAGGTATGATTTTCTTTGGATGCAACTCTGCATCCTTTCTCCTTCAAACACAAGTTGAGTTATCACCAAAAAGTTCTATTTGTTTCATCTGACCATGTGACATTCTCCCAATCCTCTGCTGTATCATCCATGTGCTCTCTGGAAAACTTCAGACGGGCCTGGACATGCTCTGGCTTCAGCAGGGGGACACGTCTGGCACTGCAGGATTTGAGTCCCTGGCGGCGTAGTGTGTTACTGATGATAACCTTTGTTACTTTGGTCCCAGCTCTCTGCAGGTCGTTCACCAGGTCCCCCCGATTGGTTCTGGGATATTTGCTCACCCTTCTTGCTCAAAGCTCTTTGATTTTGGCCATAGTGGAGTTTGGAGTGTGACTGTTTGAGGTTGTGGGCGGGTGTCTTTCAGATTGATAACCAGTTCAAACTGGTGTCATTAATACAGGTACAAGTGGAGGACAGAGGAGCCTCTTAAAGGAGCTACAGGTCTGAGAGAGCCACAAATCTTGCTTGTTTGTGTGTATGTGTGTCATATTTATCACCATATTTTGTTAATATAGTCTTTAAAATGTGATTTTTCTGGATTTTTTCTCATAGTTGAGGTATACCTATGATGAAAATTACAGGCCTCCCACATCTTTTTATGTGGGAGAACTTGCACATGGTGGTTGACTAAATACACTGTATGTGAGACAAAAGTCAATTGTGCCTGAATATGTTTTCAAGCCACGATATGTATATTTACATATTTTATTGGGTATTTAACAATAGTTAATACAAACAAGGGATGATACGCAAGACACATGTTAATCCTTCAGGGAAAATAATTGGTGTCCATTTTGTGTCGGTGTCCATTGATTGAAAAGTCCAACATTGTGTCCCCACTCTCCAAAGACTGTCACAGGGCTACACTAGTGAGGACACCATGCCAGGGCTGAGATGGTGAGAGTAAGACAGGACTCCAGGCGGGTGCAGCGTGCCTGGGCCTGACATGAGGTGTGCTGGGTGGTTGTAGGAGAGCAGAGTTCCAGGGGCCAGAGAGAAGGGCCCACTCTCCTCCAGATGAGTGCCATGGGGCATTTCTGAGTAGGACTCCATGAGGGCCGTCTTCTTGCTCTTCTTGTTCTTGCTGGACACCTTCCTGTTGCGTGTTTGAATACCATCTTTTTTCATGGTGAGAGGGCGGTTGACCTGAACACATAGCAGAGTTTGCTTCAGATAAACATACAGATGGACTAAAGGTTATATTCAAGTGAATCTTAGACCACACACGTTGTGTAGTTTAAAGTAGAGTCCGCAGGCGTTGCACACTGGTTCACCATTAGCATTCCGCCTCCACAGTGTGGTTGTACTGGTGTGGCAGTTGGCACAAAGGGTCCCAGCTCGCTTGCTGACAATCTGAACAGACATGAGTTAATTATTAGTTGTTTAAAGTGGTAAGAATTATATGAGCCAAATGTTATGACGGATCAACGACAATCATTTTCTATGTGCGTTTGTACCAGTCTTTTCTTGGGCCGGATGAGAGGTCTGTTCTGGCCGTTCATCTTGTGGTACAGTCCACAGGCGTTGCACAGGTAGTGGCCTGTTCCATCACGTCGCCACAGAGGGGTGGCTGTGGCCCCACAGTTCACACATTCTCTGGCCTCTGGAAGGAAAAATGAGAACATCAACCTCAGATCTCAAAACAAAAAGAAGTCAAGGAATGAAAAAGTGAGTATTGAAATAGCCCTGATGCTCCTCACCTGGAGTGGAAATGCGGAGCTTGTGGCGCAGTTTGGGGGAGTAGGAGGGGCTGATCCAGTTCGGGTTGGTGTACAGTCCTGAAGAGCCGTACTCCTGAGGGGGGGTCATGTAAGAGCTGTAGGGACTGAGCACATGGTGTGAAGCCTGTGTGTACATGCTGCCTCCTGCAGGGGTCAAGTTCAGAAAGCTGCTGGTGACCACTGACCCCCCTAGAGGGCTGGAGCGCTCGGCCTTCAGGACATCCTGCAGCTGGGGGCTGTCACAGGCGTCTCGAGATGGGGACGTGCAGTAGGACGTGGAGAGGCCCGGGCTGTACAGGGGCACACTGGGCTGTTTAGACAAAGCGGTACTGCTCCAGCTGGAGGAAGGAGGGTAGGCTGAGCTCAGGCAGTGACTGGTGCTGGGAGCGTCTAACAGCTGCAGATTGGAGTAGAGACTTGGGGAGCTGAAGACTGGACGCACTGCGGACACACACAGAGGAGGAGTTTGGACCAGAACACCACTGCATATATACACTGCAAAAGTTATAAATGCATGAATCGTGTGGTTTTTGACTAGTAATGGACCTAAAAAGTATTGGACCTAAAAACTGTATGAAAATGAAAGTACATAATTCATTTAAAGCCAGGAAGTGAGATGATCATGTCAAAATAGCTCAGTTCTTCGAGCTATGAGAAACATTAGCATTTCTTCTCTTTTCTCATTCTTTTTTCTTCACATACAAAGTCTTAGACAAAGAAGACCAACAACATATTTGGCCCCTGGATCTTCCACTAGAATAATACATGAACTTTTCCTCTTTGTGGAATGGGGGATAACTGACCAGAGCTGTGTCTGTAGGAGGACAAGGGTCGGCTGGTGCTGTTGAAGAAGGAGGGCAGGATGTAATCCGAGTCCACGGCAGTGAAGAAGGACTCTGCCTCATCCCCAGGAGGCAGCAGACCAGCCTCTGAGGAGAAGCTGGACAGAGGGTCTGGGCTGAGCAAGGATGGACTGTCCCAGTGCGAGTGCTCCGACGAATCCTCCATCTCAAGAGTCTGACGAGAGAAAAGTACACATGTCTACAATACATGTCCCAAAGAATAACCAAACAAACCATAAAGTAGTCGTCCTCTGTCACTTTAAATGCTATAGTTACATTACATCCACTCAGGCTTTAATGAATTTTAAGATCATAATAAGATCACTCAAGAAGTTTTGATAAACGTTCTTTTATACCAGGCTCATTTGACTGTGGCTAGATGTTACGACTAAAATTAAAAGATTCCGTCCATACATTTCTACGGCACAGTGACGGTAAGTAAGTATCTTCTTTATTTAGTGCTTTTCATCCATACGGGTGAAACTCTCTAACCAACTATTACTCAACTTAAAATCTGAAACAAATATTAATCATTTCAAAAGAATATAGCTGTTACGTATACATATGATATTCATTTTGAAAAAACAAAACAAAACACATATTCAAACAATCGCTCCTCTATCTATTAGAACACATGTCCAGCCATTTCAGAAAGTGTTGTATATTAAAAAAAATTGTAATTTAATTAAAACTTAAAAATACCAACTTTTTACATTTTATACATTTTTGTTAGTAAGTGTTTATTAGGGCAATAAATATCTGTAAATGTATACAACTTTGGCATGTATATAGTCCCTTTTTGTTATAAACAAGAAAAGATTTGTTTCCACTCCAAAATAACAAATATAATTTTTTTGGAATATGTGCTTGAAATACTCAAAACACCTGTTAAGCGTTTGGCAGTGTTTTGATGTATTCAATGTTTCAATAGATACATATTAGTATTTGGTCGCCCTTGCTCCTACACTCAGTGGTGGGCACGTACCTGGAGACAGCAGCAGAAGTCCTGAGACGGCCTGTGGTGATGACACTTTGGTGACTTAAGGCAGACTCTTCTTGCTCCAGGGGCTTTGACCAGGGCTCTAGGGCGGCTACAACTCACCCAGGACACACCTCTTTGTTTCACTCAAACTCAAATTAACGTTGTACAAAATGTTTGATGAAAGGTTCGTTATTACTTCATAATTTTTTGAAATAGCTGAGCTCTCATTCTTGTGCTGTTTTTATAATTCAAGAAGCAGGAGCTTCAGCCACTTGCTTTAGTTCATTCATGACTCGTCTGTAGTGTTATCAAGGAAGATATTTTCATCCATAAAAAAAAGAAAAAGATTTAATTCATTTACACATTGGTTACATGAATGAAAGGGAGCAGAAAGAGGAGAAAAACTTGCAGCTGTCTTCCATTTCATGACATCAAAACCCAAAAATACATGAATATGTAATGCCAGTGAGCTTTATGTAGTTGTATTAATATCATTTAATGATATTGTTACACCTTGTCGCACGACAGTTGAAATCTAGCTTTGTAGCAAAAAGTGGCCCTTTCTCTTCAAATAAATCAATAAATAAAAATAATTGGGCAAAATCGCTCTCGCTCATTCATCACACTCAGACTCAGACAAGACGGTCTCAAAACACTCTCTGACCCAACACCTCTCTCCCACTCGGTGCTTTCTTTCTTTCTGCCACGTACATCTTCAGCGCTTCCTTTTTGAAAACTGTTGTAAATTGAAATAGGTTTGTTTTTAAATCATCTGGAAGTTGTTATAAAAATTTCTCCACACAGATACACAGTGATTGTGTGACAAACTAGTTCTTAATTTAGTCTATTGTGGTGTGAAAATTGTGAAATAAGATTTCTACATGTGGCAGAGAGTTTACAGATGCTAAAGTTAGTCAAGTTCTGCTGTTAAAGAGTTCTTTTAATTCTATGAACAATGGATTAGAATGGTGTCTACATTAGACATTAGGTACAATCCTAATGGCTTTCTTTTGCAAAGTGATTAAGTGAGATTTGTCACAGTTTCCACAAACTTCAACACGATATTTTTAATATAACGTTATGAATGAGGGAATACAAGGGAATACTCACGTTGGTCTTTTTTATATATTTAATTTCAAACATATCAATTTAAACTAACCAGAGGTCAACTTTGAAACAACTTTGAGAGAGATCAGAGTCTCTTTAGCCGTCAGTTTGCAGAGGAAGTAACGCGCTGGTCGGGGGGAGGGGGGCAATATGCTGCTCCGACATTATCCACTCCCAGATAAAACAAAGCGAATAAAGATGCAGGTTTCTTTGTGGTCTTAAAAGTGCACACACACACACACACGCACACACACACACACAGCAGAACTCTCTGCCTTCAGCTTTTAATCAAATCAATTGTGAAACTGTCGGAGACAGTCGTGCTGTGCGTTATTTTTTTACACACAGCAGTTCAAAGTTAAATCAAGAATGGGTAATTTAAAGTACCCACAAACAGAGCAGTATAATGTAACCTTATATTACAATATAATGCAGCTATAAAAATCCCTAAATAGTTCCTTAAAAGAATTATAGAGTGTTTATTGAACTACGTTTTGCATGGATTACATGTTTTGGGCAGATTCATGATGTAGTATTGCATTTCAGTTCATGAAACTGTTGCATTTGGTTTGGTGATTTGACAACAGCAGAAATATTACATGACGTTTGCCAGAGGGAAATTCCCCACGGTGCAGACCCTGGTGGTGGTGGAAGAGTGAATCCACTGAGGAGGTGTGATGGGGAGGAGGCGGGTTGCTGCACGAACAGCAACTTGATGCAATGACTGTGAGGTACTGTTTAAATGCAGCCCATGATGAGGAGGGAAGAAAATACTCTTATGGTCATTTTGAACACAGAGAGGTATCCAGTCTCCCGTAGATACATTCACATCTTGACAAAATAGTTCATTCCAATATTTTGGACAAATGTCACTATCACGTTTGACAAAAAATATCAACTTCAATAGAGTTCCATTTGGAAAAGCGTACATTTGAAGCAAGAATTTCCACATAGAAAATATTCTAAGCTATAGAACAACAATTTGCTTCAAATAGAAAAAAAGATTTCACAACAAAAGTGCTGAAATGAAATCGTTTTGGTATGTCTCGTTTGGAATGAGAAAATAATGTTACTGCCCGACAACAAAATGAAAGATACCTGCTTTATCCATTGGCAAATCTTGGCAATATGTTCAAATCACTCGCCAACTTCAAGTGATATTTTCGCTTATATTTAATCTAAAGAGATCATCAAAATTATTCCAAATAAAGGATATATCTCAATTTGTGTGTAATGAGTCTATGTCATATATTAGTTTCACAATATAGGTTGAAATACAGAAATAAATGGACTTTTGATTGAAATACTAACATTCTGAGTTTCACCTGCACTGAAAAAAGTAAAACATTGCTGTGTTTCATTTGATGTTTTTTTCCATCCTAATAGCCTAAAACATATTAAATTGTTAAGTCAAATTAAAATTTGTAAATATGATGTCTCCTTCAATCTATTTTTGTAGATTACAATATAAAAGTATAAAATAAAAATGAGATTCAAATAATACATTCGATCAAATTACTTTTATCAATCGAGCACAATTCGCGCATGCACACACATGATCTGAGAGAGAGTTCTGGAAGAAGAAGACATTGAAGGCAGAACTTGAGTGAAAGTTGATGTCTGTCATCTTAAAAAATGTGTTTAATACATTTAATAAATACTGAAAAGAACGTTTGGTCTGAGTGACTTTTTAGGGAAAAAATATTGAGAGAATCTAAAATGACTAGATTACACTGTAATAAGTGAATCAGACCAAACTTTGATGTCAAATATTTTAAGTAATTACTATATACTTCATTTTCCACTATTTTATATTTTTGGTTGACAAATAAGTACTGTATAATATTATCATAGCAGCCTGTACAATACTGATTTTATTGCTTTAAGTGAAAACACTTTATGTATTTATTTTGTAAGCCTAGTGGTCCATTAATGACAAAACAAATATATTGTGTTGATTGAAAACAAAATGTGGCAAAGCAGTGACGCTACCCAGAATGCATTGTAGAGAAAAATATAAACTTCTTGAAAATTCTACATTTTAGCATTAATTTTGAGAGTGAAGATGAAGTAAGTCCTAAAGCAAAATAATTGAGCAACATTTTGAATAAACTAATTTGATCAAATAAGTAATTGTATATATTTTTACCGTAATCGACAGGGTCAAGCCAAAGCAATCCTATACTTCCTGGGACACCTTGATAACAACCAGATGCTATTAGATGATCAATATGCTTCCGTAATACCCAGTTCTAACAGATTTGCAAGCATTATTACTTCTCAGCATGAGAGTACTTAAATTCAGGACCTTACTAGAGGGTGAATACAATATCTCACAAACTTCCTCCAGGTGGAAGATAAAAATACACTTGCAACAAATACATATTTCATATTGAATAAAACTACATTGAGATCAACTCTGTAAAAACCCTTCTTTTACACTCAGCCCATTTAGTTTTCTTATTTACACCAAATTCAGAAAAGAGTTTGTATGAAATGCATGCATTTTTCTTATATTTGAGCCAATGTAAAATATTGACTTACACCAAATTAAGAAAATGCAGAAATTTAGATTGAACTAAATGCTTGACCTTAGGTCAATGTATAATCTTTATTGTGAATGTTTACTCTAATTATATTAAGTTGATCCAATGTTTCATTTATTATAGTGTGTATGTGTGTGCTTTCTGTATTTTTCATGTCTTTAGTTTATTTTAACATATTTTGTGATTTTCCAATTGCAACCACAAAAACTGCTATTTAGAATGTACTTATTGGTGCAGCCCTGGTGACAGTGCCTGCAGCCTGACAGAACGCTTCTGCTCATGTCCTCAGTGTCCTGCAGCCTGTGACAGGGCCGTGGCTTTAGCTGGAGGCTGCTCTGCACTGATAAGACCTTATCATGATGGAGGCCTGATGCAGGGCTCTGAGCCGGGCCACCACTGCCTCTCACACGCAGCTCGCAGTGGCCTTGTGCTGCGTGTCTATTGGACCGTGGCAAAGCCAACAGCAGCTCTGCAGCGGGCCGTGGCGTTGGCACTTTGTCGTCAGACAGTTGGACATGACAGTGATGGATGGGGCAATGTTTACAGGCCGAGCTCTGGATTCCCAAGAAAGTGAGTGGCGTGTAGGCGGGGGCCTTATCTCCCTGCTGCAGTCCAGCGCCACAAAAGTGCATGTTCTAAACTCAGGCTTCTGTCTTTAAGCAGTTACATCAACTCAGCAATTTTCTCTCAGCTCTACACAGCATCCACTTTAAATGGACTCTGTCTAATGTTTTCATTTTAAACAGTTTAAAGATTCATTCTTAATTAAAAAATACAGCGTACATGATGCCTATAAATTAATGTTGGAGGTATTCAAGCAGATAATCCAATCATTAAGCAGAATTAGAGAATGATACACAGTTTGTATTATTTCTAACCTAACCCCAGAATTAGATCTGTAATCAGTGCTTAGTAGCAATGTGTCACAGGCAGTAAGATAAGGCATTTTATGTGATGACTTTATTAGATAACTAGAAGTAATACATACAGTCCCTTTAAAGCTGGGGTACCCAACTGTTTCCCCCCTCATAAATTGTTTATTATTTCTGTCCAAACATAAACATTCTTGCAAAAGTGTCTTCACAGGATGAAGACACTTTTGCACTCCTAGGGCTGACCGATACTTTAAATAAGTGTGTCATGTGATAATGGTGTCTCGCTGCAACTTTCAAAGCCAATGTCATGATATCAGTACAATACAATAGTACACAATACAATACAATTTATTCTTGTACAGCCCTGAATCACAACAGAAGTAATCTCAGAGGATTTAACAAAACCATTGAAATCACCAACACAGATCAGAAAATCAATAGTTAAAACACATGAGAAAAATAAAGCACACAAAAAATGTCCATACATGTTGTAGAATGTTAAAGTGTGCTGGATCATCACCAATCCTTTCTGTTGGACAATAACTGCCCAACAAGACCCTCCTGCATCGGAAAGGAAAAAAAAGTGGGAAAAAGTGAGAAACCTTGGGGAGACCACATTGAGAAGGGGACTCCCAGGCGGGTCGGCCAGGGCAGTCCGCAGGTGTAGATGGAGAAGGCCAGGCTCGGAGGTCCAGTCGTCGTAACATGAAACAGACAATGGGACAACGGGTGAATAGCAATGAACAGACTACAGTTAAAATCCTAAAAATGCAAAACAGAGAAGGAAGGAGGAGAGGATAGTGCTCAAGTTACCTTACTTCTCCCAGCAAACTGACTCCCTATGCAGCTTAACTGACAGTCTGAGGAGTTTAGCCTTCCCTGAGTCTTACCTTCCTAAAATATGCTAAACTAGAAGGACTGTTTTAGCCTAGCCTGGAACGTAGGGTTGAAGTGAAGCGGGTTCCGAATACGCAGACTCCAAGACCAGACAAGACCTGACCGGACAAACAACCTATCCAAATGCTAAGTTGAAGAAGAGTGTATTTAGCCTGGCCTTAAATGTAGAGACAGTGTCTGCTTCCTTAACATGAACATTCCTTAATGTTTCCTCTTCATAACTTGTAGAACCACTTGATTGTGGCTCACAATACATTTTCAAAATGTTCACATTTTTTGAGATGTTTCATTGTTTCAGATATTCTCATTTTCTGAGTTTCATTTGTAAATTGAAGCGCACATTTCTTGCATATTTGTAAGGAACAGCCTTGTGAGTCACTATTTGACGCTGTGGGCAGAGCTGATCGGCTGAGTGAAGATAATCCTCTCGTTTTCATTTTTCAGACCAAAAAAGCTGATCTGAACAAACAAGCGTATGCAAACTAGTGATAGAAGCAACAGTTTTGAGAGCGAGGAACTTCTTTTTTTATTATTTTTATCTATAATTCAGTTTGAAAGTCAGGACCCCTAGCTTTAATTGCTGATGGGACACTCTTTTTTTTGTGCTACACCATGGCTCTCTCCCATCTCAACAGTCATAAGCTGTGTTTTATGTTGCGGCTTCAGACATCATTCCTTTGGGAGAAAATGTTGCAGACCCCTGAACTATGCAGACTATTGGGCTAACTAAAGACAGTGGCATCTATGTGAAAATAGTAACTGTACATTTTGTGTATCTGAGAATCTCTGATCATGTGACTTTGAATGTATGACATTGAGAACAACTTTAAAACACCTGAGTGTGTGTACTCCTTCTGAGGCCTTCTCCTGTCCTGTTTCCAGGGAACTGTAGACAAATCCTTATGGGAATAATTTAATGCATGAACCACATTTTCAGAATACTCTAACTGACTGTATTAGTACTTTTTTTTTTCTTTTGCTGTTATATGCGTGTGTATGTTTTTGTCTTAAATTAGTACAATAACAAAACATTCAAAAATATGCAAAAACAAAGTCATGCCCATAGACCGTATATTTAACGGACGTAGTCATGTCAATCTCCGCCGTTCTAACTAATGGGCCAAAAATTGGGCTTTCATGGAGTGATTCAAAATGGTCGCGGGGGCTGGAAAATGTGAGAAAATTCAGCCGGCACGAGCTCCATTCATTTAAACGAGAGACTTAAAAAATTCACAGCGAGTAAACTAGACTGGTCCAAAAAAATTCACCCCCCTAAAGCCTAGTGTATACTCGCGCGGCGCGGAGCTTACGGAGGTGACGTGACGTCACTTGCGCAACGCGTTGGTCACCGCAAGGCCCTTACGTTGCCTGCCGCGCAACATCGACATTTTCTAACTACGAAAGGGTTGCCGCAAGGAAGCTCCGCTGTGATTGGTTCGTGTGTGTGTATTGGAAGGAAGCACGGAGCGGCTGCAGCAGGGACATGGACGAAGCACTATGGAGCAGAGAGCTTTGTGCTTTGAAGGAAAAGTAGTTTGGGCTCAGAGCCTGATATACAGGAGACTGTGGACTATCTGTGAATAAGAACAAGTGACTTGGCATTTATTTTTGTTTTTATTGTGTGCTGTGGTTTTGTGTTTTTATCTTGCAGTGCATTTTAACCTTATTTATAGTTTTAAGGACTCGCTATAGTCACATGTTTTTATCACATGGCTTTACCCCAATCCCTGCTGCGGGACAATCAAAAGCACCTGTGTCTGGCGGAAATTGGAGCAAATAAAAGGAGCGCAGGAACCACGACAGGACAGACACAGAGAGAGGCAGAGAGACAACAAGCACGCAGGAGCAGGAAAGCCGCGGCACCCCACCACAAGCAGGACGAGCAGGACGGCACACGCATCGGGACTACAGCACGCTGAGACCGCAAGTGTTGCGAGGCAATATACACGCAGAGGCAGAGGAGAACTCTGCCTTCCGTGTAAGTACCTTTTGGGGACATAGTAACACTTGTCGGATAAAGTTAGATCGAGCACATCACTGTTTAGAACGTTTGACTGCCGCTAGTGATTTCCGCGTAGGTGTCTCGGCGTACGGAGGACGAGAGCCAGACGGGAGGAGTCGAGACTAAGTGAAGGAGTGTTGTGACGCTGAACACACGCAGGGGCAGAGGATAACTCTGCCTTGTGTGTAAGTATTGTAGCGACACTCCACCATCGTAGCCTAAGGCCTTATAGCTTCGGACCCCCGTACTGGCGTATGCTTTGCATTCTAGGTGGCCCGGTGCGTGTGACCCAGGTTGGAGTGCTGCCCTGGACCAGGAGGGAGTGGGACCTGCCTGCACCTGACCGTGCCTTTTAGTAGTTTTAAACCTTTTTTTTTAGCCCACCTTGTTTTTAATGGACTTTTAACACAGTGTTTTTATTTGTGGGCATTTTTTTACTCTTTTAATTATTCCTTGCATTAAATTTTAATAACTTGCCACGACCTTTTTGTCCTCCTTGGTAGACAAGTGTGCTCTCACCCGGTCACTCAATCTATTTCTTTGCAATAGTTATTTTTCCGGTCAAATTTCATTCCGCTTCCAAACACCTTCATAGCCCCCCCCCCCCCCCCCCCCCCCCCCCCCGTTACATAATTTGGCGTTGCTGGCAGGATCTGGTTCTCGAGCACACTTGTTTGCCAGGGAGGAAGGAGCCATGATGATGCCAGTATATCCTGGTGCCCCCTGGCTCCCTAAGTTTAAAGGGCCAGGGGATGACTTAAAACTCTGTGATTGGAAAGAACAAATGGAAGGGTTGTTGGGGTCTCAAGAGCTAACTGAGCCTAGAAAGGTTGCTATTGTGTTGGGAGCATTAGCCGGTGAAGCCAAGCGTCAAGTCAGTGTCCTAGAGGATGACGAAAAAGACACAGCTCGAAAAATGTTTGCGTATCTTGGCTCCCTCTATGGTGACCAAACCCCGACATCTGTTGTTAGGTCACAATTTTTTTGTTGTGCTCAAAAACCGGGTGAAACGGTCCAGTCTTTTACGGCGGCATGACGACCCCCCCTCCGAGGCAGCCCTGAGAGATCAGCTGCTTCTAGGACTGCATGAAGGACCAATGACACAGGCGCTAAAAGTGTATGCTCGTCGGCACCCAGATGCAGATTTTGCAGCGCTGCGAGAGGAGGCGCTGTTGTTGGACTCTGAATATGGCAGCTCTGCATCAGAGGTAACGTGCTCCATTGTCAATAATAAGTCTAGTTTTTCAAAGGAACCATATTTGGACTGGAAGGAGACCCTCAAGCGTGACATAATGGAGGAAGTGAAGGCTGAGATGAAGGGATTGGCACAGGAACTAATAAGGGAGCTCAAACCTCACTTGTCACCGGTTGCAACCGCCGCAGAGCTGCCAGTAACACCGTGGAGCTACTACCGATCACCCCCACGCAACCAACGGGATGAACGAGGTAGGCCCATTTGTCGACTGTGCAATAAAGCTGGACATATAGCCAGATAACTGTCGGACGACATCTGCCTCAGGGCCAGCTTTAAACTAGCTGTCCCTGCCGCTGAGGTCCGTTCGACAGGGGTGGCTGGTCCAACAGCACAGACGAGGGCCACAGAGACATTCATAGGCCAATGTCCAACAATAAAAAATCACTGCTGAAGGAGTTGAATTGGAAGGGCTGCTAGATACAGGGTCACAAGTAACTTTAATGGCCGAGAGTGTGTTCAATGAACATTTTACCCAGGCTAAGCTTGGAAGGACACCTGTACTGTTTAAATTGAGAGCAGCTAATGGTCTGGAGATCCCGTATATTGGGTATGCCGTGCTTGACTTGGCAGTCGAAGGGACACAGATTCCTGGACGTGGAGTAG